TCTTGGCAACATTTAAGAAAATACAAGAATTAAGTTCTTATCTTTCTTGACAAATACTGATAAGAAAAAAAGAAAGTCTGATATAAAATTGATCTTTGATTAGGCTGAAGATATGGCTAGTATTATATTCTTAAACATTCTTGATTTTCTTCCCTAGAAAGTTTAAGAAAGGCCATTCTTGTTTTTCTTAGCAACATTTAAGAAAATACCAGAAAGTTTAAGAAAGATGATTCTTATTTTGCCTGGTAATGTTCAAGATGATGTTAAGAACTTTTTTCTAGTTTTTTCTTGTCATGTGACCTTTTCTGAACCCCTGATTGGTTGATTCAAATCCCAGAATGCAGTTAGGGGGTTTTGAATGTAAGTCAGATGTAGGAGCCGCGCTGGTTACTTATTTTTGTCAGTTACTGACTCATGTCAGATTTGAAGTCAAAATCAAATTAAAAAGGACCTTGTGTACATGTGAAGCAATGGTGATCGTGGTCAGCTTGCTAAAGAAACCAACTTTGCAACAGAAAAAGCATGAAACCAAACAGATTGAAGGTAAGTGCGCCCCCCTCCCCACCTATAAGATCTGTTGACATTGTATTTAGACTTCATAGCCCAGATATTGTTACAACGCCATTGGGGTTGATTTCAAAGTCAAATCATATATCTCTGGTGTATTGTATAGTTAAGTTTATTACTGTGCTTTCTAATGTAATTTTAAATTGTTTACTACAAGTAATAAAAATAGTATTTTAGCATCCTCTTTTGACTTGTTGCCTTCAGTACACGCATGCAAACTAACACAGGTCTTTCCTTTTGTTTTCAGGTGTCCAAAGGGTGTGACTTTGCCAATTCTATAATGCGAAAACTTCAGTTTTTGCTGAATACATGTATGTTTCTGATCAGAATGTGATACGATCTGTATTCTGAAATCATATTGGCTTGTTAGTTTCATCCTATAATATTTTGAAAGCTACTGTTAAACTGTTTCCATTCCAAGAATGTTGCTTTGATGGACTGATATTTTTAATTAGATACATTGTACAAAAATCAATGTGAAAATAAAACCTATATACTGTCCAAATGCTTTTCAAAATAACATTTAGTTGCTATACATTATTGTCCGTTTTCTATTTAGGTAGCACTATATACCTTGTATTTCTTTTCTTGTGGGCAGAATGGTTTTCTTGCTACAAGAACAGAGTCAGCTCTTATTTCAAGAAATCTTTTCTTGTGTACAGAATGGTTTTCTTGCTACAAGAACAGTTAGCTCTTCGTTCAAGAAATCTCTTCTTGTGGGCAGAATGATTTTCTTGCTACAAGCACAGTTAGCTCTTAGTTCAAGAAATATTTTCTTCTGTACAGAATGGTTTTCTTGCTACAAGAACAGTTAGCTCTTCGTTCAAGAAATCTCTTCTTGTGGGCAGAATGATTTTCTTGCTACAAGCACAGTTAGCTCTTAGTTCAAGAAATATTTTCTTCTGTACGGAATGGTTTTCTTGCCACAAGAACAGTTAGATGTTAGTTCAAGAAGTCTTTTCTTGTGGGGAGAATGGTTTTCTTACTACAAGAACAGTTAGATCTTAGTTCAAGAATTCTTTCCTTGCAAGGAGAATGGTTTTCTTGCCACAAGAAGAGTTAGATAATAGTTCAAGAAATCTTTTCTTGTGTACAGAATGATTTTCTTGCAATAAGAAGAGTTAGATCTTAGTTCAAGAAATCTATTCTTGTGGGCAGAATGGTTTTCTTGCTACAAGAACAGTTAGCTCTTAGTTCAAGAAATCTTTTCTTGTGGGGAGAATATTTTTCTTGATACAAGATGAGTTAGATCTTAGTTCAAGAAATCTTTTCTTGTGTACAGAATGGTTTTCTAGAAAACTTAGAAATTCTTACTGCAAGAATAATAGTCTAAGGATATTTAGTTCAAGATACATGAGAAAATAAATCTTACCACAAGAAGAATATGCTAAAATGCAGTTTCTTGAAATTCTTGTCTCATGGACAAGATTTTTTTCTTGGGTGAAGAATAATTTTCTCAGTGGAAGAAAATTTTTCTTCTCTGAAGAAAAACAAGATTGGCATTTTTGGTAGTGCAAGTGGGTGGCTAGTATGAGATATCAACTTAATATACAACCGTTGGAGGAGTTTCTAATATCCACTCTTTAATATAGATCCCTTTGTTTAGCATGTAGGGATTGTCACAAGTCAATATGTATTTAAATTTTCTTTCCAAGTTCATTGTAGTAAATGCTATTAAAGAATCTGATAGTCTAGTGTATAGTGCATTACGAACATCGATATATTTAACAACTGTTCCAAAACTTTAAAGACATCTTGTTTTATGCAACCGGCCAAATAAATTCTGTGCGTGCAAAACAAGTGTTGACCTCCTGGTGGCCAGTATCTCTAATTGCTAGTTGAGCTAATTGATGCCCCGGACACTGGACAGTCCAGGTTATGTACAAGACAGATGTTATAAAAATTAAAGGTGAACCGTATTAAAACCTCAGGTCATAATTTACGTCACAATGACATCTTCATTGGTAAAAGTTGTCTACACGTATACCTGCCGCTACTGTATCGTTCTAAAGTTGTTTATCAGCAGTTGGTCTCGATTTATACCATTTAATTGGGGATTGCACGTCCACAGAACAGGTCCAACCAGGTCCTGTAAATATGGATCACACATACAGGACCACGCATACAGGTCCCTTTATATGTAAGGGTTTGGGGGCATTTCTCACATAAACGCATCACACCGCAGCAAAACGCACTGAATGCGGAAGTATTTCCACCACAACAACAAAATTAAGTCAAAGGTCTTTGTCTTGATTAAGTAATGAAATGATTGAAAAATTATTTGTAAAAACCATAGCAGGACCAGGGATGAGCATTTCTAATTAAAAATGAAATCCAATGCAAAGATCTTTGTACACATCATATCAGAAAATATCCTTGGGTTCTTCATTGGGCGGACGACAGTGACCCCGAGACTAAACCATCTGATAGACTACTAGTATATGAAAACCGTTGGGATAGAATTACGTCATATCGAACATGATTCGCCGTTTCGATCTCTATAGCAGCAGAGTGGGACTTTTGGACCCCAATTTGACCATCGTAATTGTTCCATTTTGAGCTAAAAGCCACTCCTTAGCAGCTGAGCTGTCAGCTGTTAATGACAGGATGCTGCACTTTTGGGGGCGTTACTGCCAAAAGGTGCTACTCACTTAATATGACATGTTGCCCTTAAGGCAAATTGTCTGACAAACCTATCTCTTACCTCCCACGGGAACAGATCACGACGTTTACCAGAAATAGTGCCAATCAGTTTTTTTTGGAATATCACTTATTAATGAGCTTAAAGGAGAAGTCATTCCTCGCAATATGGATCGGACGTTTGTTTGGTCTCCTTTTTCTGGCTAATTAACTTTCGGAATTCTCTTTGATAAAATTATGCGGATGAATACACACAGCTGTTGTGAACTGTGGTGTGGCGGGAAAGCTCATTAAGCAGGTCAGATGTGGACAGACCACTTCAAGTGATTTTATCAGAAGGTAACCACATTCTTTCGGCTATAAATTCTGTACAGTTTCGAAAATTCTTTTGAATCACACCACGAAACATATTGTTTTCCCACGTGTGTCTTCTTCTTCTCCCGCGCAATTCTGTTAAATGGATTCAATTCTGCTGCTTTTACCCAAATGATCTAAAATTTGGCACGAAGCTTATTCAGCACATATATAAGTCAGATGTGGACAGAAGGTAAGCACATTCTATTAGCTACAGATTCTGTACAATTTCAAAATTTCTTTTGCATCAAAGAGCAGATTCAATCCATTCAACGTATTGAATCTGAAGTGAGTCTATACATTATTTCAATAATCTTGCGTGCATGTCTCATGACATTCTATCCATTTTACAATTCATATTTGCCCTCCCACTTATGTATTCAATGTGTACTTACATAGTTTCACGTTTCTTTAAGTTTATTTACTAAATAATTTACATAAAGGCCACGGTTTTTAACGACGAGAGAGGTAACCCTCTAGTCTCTTGTTTTTCAGAAGACTGAAAGGGCATTATGGGAGAAGCCAATAAGACGGACGCCATAGCTACGTCCGACAAACTGCTGTGTTTTCTACTCTTCGGGGCGACTCTAATTCAGTACGCAGGAAGAACCAGCGTCGCAGTTGTGCTGGTTGAATTACAGTTACCACCAGTTAACGATACAAACACAAATATTTCCAAGGTAAGCTACGGTAAAGACCGTGCAGTACACTGGCACAACGTTTTTTTTAACCTCGTAGTCAGCAAAAACTGAATTTGTTTAACGTACGGCTTCATACAACCGACGTGTTTATATGTTACAAATATCCTCGTAATTTTTATACTGAAAACATGAACATAAGGAACAGTAATTTTGTTCAAACACAAATCCAACGGAAAAAATTGCAGACATCACTTCCGGATGTTTCGAGTGACATCCGTCACTGAAATGCCACCAAATTACATAATTTAAGTGACGCCGATACAAAAAGAAACTCATTCTAAATACCCCGTTATTTGTCTAGTGATGGAGTTCAATTTCTCGGTGAATATTGTTTGCCTAGGTGTCTAACTTTATCAATGAACCGTAATTTTGGTTATTATAAATATTTTAAGAACACAATTACTGATTTTTTACAGACTTTTTTTAAAATAGGAATTAACTTTAACCATTTGTGTCTACATGTATATATTTTCAAAACACACAGTCCCACATACAGTACAGTCAGTTCCAAGTGAACGCGATACTGAGTTCAATCTACATCGGTCAGCTGCCTTCAAGTTTCATCGGGGGTTATCTGGCCTATCGATATTCAGCCATTAGGTGAGTTCTTTTGCAAAGTCTATACTGGTGATGATAAATATGCACATTAAATTTTTCAGACTGTGTAAATTTGCTGATTTCTTTCTAAAATTGATTGGTTAATTTGATAGAAAAAAGGATCTGTTGACTTTAATACAATCATAATCATTGGTTTCTATCAAAATTTTGGAAACACATTTTGTTGAAAAAGAAACGTTTATTTTATGAATTATCTACATGGCTATTTTTGTAACCGTATTCCCCCAAAATATTCAGGATTTTCCTGGCGTCATTTGGTGCCGGCTCCATTGCCCATGTCCTTGGTCCTGTCATGTTTGGCAACTTTAGAACTGCAGTGATCCACCGTGTCTTGGCAGGCCTGGTAGAGGTAAGACTTGTAGTTTTCAAACAACAATAATAAGAAATACCAATAATATAACGCAATGTTCACCATTTTTGAAGATAAAGGCTTGAGATCCAAAAATTACACGGAAAGGGTTTTAACACCATGTCAGGCTGATGTCATCAGTTGGTGTTACGAGTCTTCAGGTGTTTAAATTTGACCTTGTCTGTTTTATAGTTGGGCTTTTAGTATAATATGTATACTTCGTTGTTGGGATTGTTTCCATACCCAGTTGAAAATTCAATTCTGTTTGCTTATCATGAACATGTCAATGCACTTCCAAAGTTATGATCGGCGCCATTGCCAGTACTGTTAATTTATTGTTTTCTCTCTTTTTTTTAATATCAGGGACTATGCGAACCCGCCGCATTCGGTGTGCTAAGCCAAAACTTAACACCAAGGCAAAGTGCAAGAGTTTCTCCCTATATCTTTGCAGGTGATATATCAAAAGGTTGTCTTGACTTAAGCTGATTAAAAATCATCAAATAAATAAAAGCATTTACCAGTTCAGTAAATACTAAATTAAATGAATACACATTTTAGATAATAATATCCAATTATATAAATTCATAATCGTCTATTTTTGTTATATGTTTGAGCTAAAGATTGAATTATAATGCGTTGAAAATGCGTGTTTTTTGTAGATGCAATGATTAAAAATGCAATGTGAAGAAACATTTGCATAATCAAAGTATTTACTGGAAAATATGAGTACATTAAAACCTGGTTGACATTGCATTTTTTTCTTAAATGTTTTAGCATACTACTTTGGCCAGTCGCTTGGAAAAATCTCAACGGGGTTTTTGACGCAAAGACTGGCCTGGCAGACAGCATTTTACATGTTTGGTAAGTTAACCATTAAAACTTAAAAAAAAAAGACTTTCAAAATGTAAGGCAAAATTTTTACGTGACCATACTTTAAATCATAGATTGTAATTATAAAATCTTAATTAATATACTTTTTATAGCGTCTGTTTAGATGTACATTTGTAACTATTTTTGTGCTTGAGCAATTAATTTTTTGCGTTCTTCAGCAATTGAAAATGTCTGGGCAAATTTGTAAAATGTAATATTGCTCTTAATTGATGCCATTTATCAATGCTAAATATTCATGTCACTCGCCAAAACCTAGCAAGCAAAGGATAATTCAGGCTAGTATTTAATGTAATATTGTCTAATGACTCTATTGACTAATGTTCAGTGTGCAGATGGTAATGACGCTTAGAGTATTATTATTATTGTTATTACATAGCAAATGTAAAAAATTGTTATAATGTTTGTATTTCAAATGTATGTAAGAGTGGCGTAAAGTCATTAATTGCAGGTAAGTGAAATAAATAAGTAAGCTGTATTTTATAAAGGACTGCTATGAACAACTTATTGATTTTCATAAATATGCAGGGGGCCTGGGGATAACGTGGGCAGCCGTTTCGGTTGGATTTGCAGTTACAGGCTTGGGGGAGAGGCACGATGCACTGGATACACAAAGTCAGGACAAAGAGGGTTTCAAAACGGTAGGAAATAAGACGAACTTCACTATGTAATATAGTACAGATGTATGCAGAAAAGGTTGCCTTATATGTCAATGACCAAACATTTTATCAGCATTTCATTTATTTTATATCTATTCTTAATCTTTTTTGATCAATTATAAAAATGACTAATGAGATCCTTCATATTTTCTTATTACAAAGCATTTTAACACTAGATTACGCCCTTAGCTTGTTCAAAATTTGGACATATATGGTATTGTTGTAGCATAAATCTACATGCTGGTGGAATACGGTCATCGAAACGTCCACCAATGTTTAAATTGTAGTTATAAATAAAGAAATATAATTGCTTCCCAATTCTCGTGTGTGTGTGTGTGTGTGTGTGTGTGTGTGTGTGTGTGTGTGAGTGTGTGTGTGTCTGTGTGTTTCAGGGTTGGTTGTGTTATAATGTATCAAATCTATGTTTTCTTTGTAGAAAGGTGTTCCATTCTGTCACATCTTCACGTCTCCTGCCGTCTGGGCCTACATTATGATTCTAGCAGCATCCTACGTTTGGGAGCCAACTCTCCTGCCCCTGTACTTTCAGCAAAGCTTTGGAGTACAGGTCGAGCTGGTAAGTCTTGCTTTACATATGCATTATGCATAATTAGGACGAAACAAATTCTTTGCATAGATTTACAAGCTAAATCAACCCTACTCAATAGCAAATAAGCGCCATTCAGAAAGTAGAGTTACCAAACTATGACGCCTTACACTGCTCAAAAATCGGAATATCCGGACGTTTCCGGACCTGTACATGTCCCGTGAAACTTGGCGTGCCCGGGTGTGTCCGGGTGTGTGCAGGAAATGTCGGCCACGGCGTGTGCGGGTCTGTGATTCCTCCGGACACGCCCGGACACCTGGTAATTAGTCGTGTGTACGGGAATATACGGGCCTGCACACGTCACACGTCGCAAGTACTGCCAAACAATAAGGGGTCACCATACATGTAGATCGTTTCGCAAATGCGTAAATTGAGAGGTGCACATGTGTTTTCAAAGCCGGTAAGAAGAACGGGCAAAATGCTGGTTAGAAAACAATATTATTTTCACTCCCGAAATCTACCTAAACATGAGTTCGTTCCATGAACCGAATTACTACCTAAAAACGTTGTAGGTAACAGGCAACGCAACACAAAGACAAGACATCTAGATTAGATGGTAGAGGAAATCAGCGTTACATTAAAAGTTGGTGAATAGAAGAAATGTTGTTTGGGGGCCGATGTCTGCTATAAACTCGCCCTCGCCAGTCTGGTTGACTTTTGGGCCACGCCAGGCTTATATATACTCTGCTAAAGAATCTAGAAGGATATATAAAGCTTGGTATGAACAAGGATTTTATATGAACATGGAGCTTCAACTAGGTTATGATATAACGTCCTTGGTATGAATGGGGTCTAAGTGTATCCCTGTATATATTTGTAACTATAACCCTTGCTATGAACAATGAGTAGATTTCTTTGTGTGGTCCATCGTCTCCCCGCATATATTAACGCCTCATTATACCGGCACCATATTGAATCTACAGTGGGCAAAAACAACAACACAATTACTGATCAGAATTTTACCAAACTAGTCTATTGGGAACCTTCGACCTTGACATATTTCACCTTTGGAAAAATGGTCGTTTTCTTTGGTAATGAGAGGGACCGCTCTGGTGTTTTTTCAAATATCAGCCCACTTTAGTGTAAAAATAATTTTTTGGAAGAGGCAAAAGATGCATAGTTTACTTGTACATTGTTGTAAGATGTGTATTGTGGTGTCATGGTCAGAGACGAGACGGCGCCTATGTCTTATTTACCTTGTTTGTTTGTTTTTATATAAGAGAGGTTTAACTTCCTTGGTTATATTTAATTTTTATACTTTAAGAACACGAAGTTGAAAACATTACACGGGTAAACTGCAAATTATGTGTTGATGATAACATTCCAGACTATTTTATAACCTATGTTTTTTTATTAGTGTGCGTGCAACTTTTACATAATAGACAAGCAGGACATTTCACAACTCTTTGTATATCATTTTTTCCTGCGGTGACCTGTAAACCAGACCAGCCAATTGCATGCATTTCTCTTTGTTGGGGTTTGAAAAGAGGGCCAATCAACGCTCGGGTCATTATTTTTGAAATCTTTCCGTTACATGCCTGGTTGTGGAGCGTGCATTGTACAACTATCCTGGACACAAGCAACACGCTAGGAACTTAGTGAGAGCATGGAGGTAGAAAAGGGTCCATGGTGAGAGATTGTGTCATATCTCATCATCAACATAGGAATATCGGTATTGCGCCTTTCTACGTAAATTGGAGCAGTTTTCAAGACAAGAACGCCGTGGGACACTGGCAAGACGAACTGGGACAAGACTACTCTCCAAGCTGAGGTTGATTGGGAAGATTGTGAACGTCAGAGTATGCCTCGTTCTTTGGAAAGCCGGTAGCCAGGATCCTAGGAACCAGGCTGCGGGCATAGGCGAGTGATAGTCCGCGTGCAAGAGAGTATTAGACCGGACCAGAGGACCGATGTACACCCCTCCGGACTATACGCTGTGTCCCGACTCAAGGCCGTGCTGTGGCACAAGATGTTCGGCCCGTGGGTCACCGCCTCAGCGAGGCTTGTTGCACAGCGCGGAATAAAGAGCTTGGGACGGCTTCTAACGACTGGTGCCCAGACGAGACCAATATCTGCTCCCGTGACTAGCTGCGTCAAGGCAAGACACAGAAGAACGAGACGTACAGTTTGTTTCAGCTGAGCTGAAAGACCGGCCGAAGTACACTGGAAATATTGGAGGCACACAAAACACAAACAAAAAGTCACAAAGCCCAAGCACCATGTACAATTAATAAAGAAAACAAAATTATGCAAACAAGAAGGGGGGATAAACGGCTATGATGCTACTTTACATTACAAAAGGCATATTGGAGGGGGGGGGGGGACGTGTGCGGGTGTGTACGACCCGTACACGAGCTGATAATGAGGAAGATAATTAGGTGAAAATTACCGCTAATTTATGCATATTTCATACACACACTCAGAGGTACGTGTCACGTATCCAGGTGTGTGCAGAGATTTACGGGTGGCGTGTGCAGACGTGTGCAGGCCTGTACATGGCCCGGACACCTGAGTGGTTCATATCCGGGCCGTGTGCGGGCCCGCACACGCCAAGTGTACGGGTCGCGCACACCTGGAAATGTCCGTATATTTGGAATTTCCGGGCGTGTGTACGGGAGTATACGACCCGGATACGTCGGTTTTCGTCTAGTGTTATGGGTGTGTTTAAAATATGTAAAGAAAAGTTTTTAATGTAACTTCAACCCTATTCAGACAGGCTCAACAAAAAAATAAAACATAATACGAAACAAGTATAATCTTAATATATACAGAATTAATCTTTTAGATGTTGGCAAAGAAAGAAACCATTTAACATTGCTTGACACTTCTAAACACCTGTGGAATCCTTAAAGGGAAACCTGCAGTACCAAGGGCCTGCACTGTGGAACAGTCTGCTACTAATCTGCGTCAACTGATATCAACGTCAGCTTTAAAAAAACAAACTGTAGAGAACTGCAGACCGTAAGACTGAACGTACATGGAAAATGAATGAACTAAACGTGCCTATGCTGAGACTGCGTTGTACATGCACATGTTTGAAACATTATTTGTATACCGTTGTGGTCAAGTGTAATTTTCATGAATGTATGTTTTAATGTATGTGCCCAGGGATACCTGAAAAACAGATCAACTGATCTGAGGTATGCCCTGGTGAAATAAATAAACTTGAAACATTACTTTAAAGCCACTCTATGTAGTTTTTTGACAATACAAAAAGTATATTTTTCATTCTTTTCTTTACATAGTACATTGACTTAACCCTTTAGTATTCCAAAATTATACTCCGCAACAAAAAATACAACATCCTTGCTCCTTATAAGCTTAGAAAACTGTGAATGATCTTCTATTCAACCTCTGGCCACACCAGGCCACACCGTACATATGGTATTGCCCACTGCCAGTGGTTTGACCTACATCCCAGTGGGGTGTCAGTTGATAGCTTACCAGTTTCTGAAATACCTAATCGTTTACCAGATCTTTTATCTCTTTTGAAGGGATGATGACCACAGTTTATTCATGCCCAACAAAATACTCCAAGTTGATGATTATATTCCACCTCATGTGAAAGATATGAGTTTTTTTTTTCTAAGGAGACTAACATCTTGTGACATGTGCCCCTGTCTATCAAGCCTGGCATGCCCGGGCCAATTAGCCACCCCAGGGGGGCAACCCCTGTATGTTGTTGTTGTCCTGAGCAAACCGGTGCCACCGGGAACCCAACATGGACTGTTTGAACGGACAAAATATACGTAAAAAATGTGAAATAATGACACAAATGTGTTGAAAAGTGATAGTAACTGTTAATAATACCAAAATTTAGTATAATTAGAATATTTCAAATTTTTGCGAAAAAAAATACATAGAGTGCCTTTAAACTTTTGAACGGTTGTGAGTTTTGATAATATAAACAACCAGCCTTGCAAAGTCTGTGTTTATGATCACAATCATTTGTCATCGCTTTGGCATGGTCCTAGATGGTATCATAAAAGTACAATTTTTTCTACATTGCTATACTTTAAACACAGCAGTCTGCTACAACGGAAATCTTTCCATTATAATTTTTTAATAAAATGGAATTATCGCCTTGCATTTCTCCTAAAGAGAAATATTTTCTCGTTTAGAAACGCTAGAGTCAATCGTTAAAGTCATGCTTTAGGCAAACACCGTTGAATACAATATCGGTTACGTATATTAGTTTAATTTTAAATTTATTTTTATTTGTAATGTTTCAATTACTGAAATAGGTTGGAGTCCTATCCGGAATTCCTCCTCTGATTTTCGGAGTTTTAGAACCGCTGTTCGCCATGGTCGGAAACAGACTGTGCAAGTATGTTTCAACGACTGTTGCACGTAAAGCGATGGCTGTCACCGGTACGTATGTATTTAAATTTCCTATTCAGTTGACTAAAGGAGTAGGGATATGTGTCAGGATTAACATTTGTCATTAAGTGAAAGACAATGAATCAGTTGCGACTATTAAAAAAAAAATCCAATGTAAACTCACTCTCTACCATAGGTTGCAAACTAACCACGAAACAAATATAAAGGTTAGTAGAAAATTGAGATTTTCTTACACAGATTTACAAATAGTTAAGAATGGCATCTTCGTTTTTTTTCTTATCTGCAGGTTGTCTGGTCGTTTCTGGATGCTTTTTAATTGTGGCGTTTACATCCAACTTTCTTGTGGCTGTCAGTTTTATCGTCTTGGGCTTTGGAAGTTCTGCAGCTAGGGTGGCAGGTAATTTTTTTTACCCCAGGATACAATACTACTGATTAGGCTGGGCGTGAGTAAGCGTGTGAGTGAGGTGTTGAGTCTGTGAGTGAGTGAGTGAATGAGTGAGTGAATGAGTGAATGAATGAGTGAGGTGGTGAGTGAATGAATGAGTGAATGATCGATTGAGTGAGTGAGTGAGTGAGTGAGTGAGTGAGTGAGTGAGTGAGTGAGTGAGTGAGTGAGTAAGCGAGTGCAAATGTGTGTAAGTATAAGTTGGCAGCACATAGGTGATGGAAGATTGACAGATTGCCATGCAAAGAAATTCATTATTTTTTTAAACTAAAAGTTTCCTAAAAATCAAACCATGAACAGATAATATTAATTCGTAGATTCACTGAGCAACAATTTAACCCTGTACCACTGCTGTCCTATTTATTCCCAGTTAACCCAATTTAGACCTGTTTTTTTTTTCGGTATTCTTCGACGGAGTGGGGCTTGAAGCCGGACCCTTGTAACTCCACAATCACTTATCGTAGGGCCACTGAATAAAGCTGGTAAAATCAAATTACAACAGCTGATTTTGATGAAATACGTCATTTTTTTCGTCTTCACGGACATTTAGTGTCAGAAATCATTTAAATAGGTAAATGTATAATGTATTGTACAATTTATGTTGTCGAGGGAAGATTGCAGACAGGCGTAATAAACGGCTTTTCATCTTCCCCCGAATATCTCTTTTGTTATGCTATGTTTATTTACATATCTTTAATAACATGCCAATGAACAAGCAAACAAATGCGTCAATTGTAGAATATAAAGGTACTAGTATGTCAACACTCATTCCCATTGAAATAATGCTACGTCAAAAAAGACGTTTCAAAATGATTTCATCATTGTAATATTTTACACAACCTTGTTCACCACCTGTAGTTGCTGATGCCAACCCATTTGACATTGCGCCCCGATACGCCAGCGTGCTGACAGGGACAGGCCGGGTTATTTGTCGTGCTGTTGGCCTGACATTCCCGCTACTGGTGGCAGCACTTACAGAGAATAAGGTATTTATGGAGAACAATTATTGTTTCTTTTTTTATTTTTCATTTCATCCGAAAGACACCCGTAAAATCATTGCATATTCATGAGCTGATTTCGATGAATGCCCAGAAAAAAATAATACATTGTACAAATATTCTAAAATTTTACATAAGTAACATAACGTAGATTTTGAGAGGTATACAAAAACTACATAAACTGCAAACATGGTGACGACAAATAATGCAACGCTGTGTAACTAACAAAATTAGAAAAATGGAAAAAAATCAAAAATATTAAGTCATACTCCAGAATCAAATTTAGGGGCACAATGCGGTATTAATATTTACTGATGTTACAAAAGCTAAAAAAAAATAGCCTGCCAAAGTTTTCTATTTAAGCTGTGAGCAACGTTAATGAGAAAAACCTTCAGCTATCAGCCTTTTAAAAGTCCATCTGTGTTCCACTAGGCAAAAGTCATTCTAAACTAGGTGAACAGGTTTGGACTTCAATATTCAACCAATTGCATTTCGATTTAAACGCAGTCAGACAATTATAGTAAAATTAAAACATATCCTCTGAATTGAATGACTTTGTATTGAATTTTTACAGACGAGACAGGAGTGGTCCCGAGTGGCCCTGATTAAGTCGGGATTTTTTGCTGCCTCCGCCATCGTCTTTGGAGTCTTCGGGAGCGGAGAAGAGCAGCCCTGGGCCGTGGTGACTTCACATGGTCAAAACGGACCGAATCAAGATCCCAAAACCCAACGGGGAAAAGTAGATGACGAGAAACAACAACTGATAAAATGATCTACATTGTATTAGATCTGAATTAGATTCCCGTTTTAGTGGGGTCTTGTGGTGTAACGACAGAGTTTTTGGGTCAGAAATAAAAGATCCCGGGTTTGAATCCTGCCATGTCATTGATCTTGTGCCCTTAGTAATGCACTTCACCCAAATTCGCTTACTTCCCTCGCGTACGCTGAAGAACACATCGCACTTTTCAAAAGTAGTATGAAGCCATGAGGTGCTATGGTCCAAATACAACTATCTAAAGATTATCACTATCTACTACGTTATTTCTTGAAGGCAGTTGGTCCTTTACTATTAAAAGAATTCCGAATCAAAAAAAGCTAAGTAAACATAACATGTTACCGCTTATGTATAGGCAACTGGAAAACCGGTTAGACATGGTGTAGCTACTAGCGATTAACTGCCATTGATATGCAAATAAGGTTAAGGCAGTCCCTATTGTAGCAAAACACCATGACTTGACTTGACTTACTTGACTTAAGTCGGGTGCCACTCCTCCTCTGCCACCCAAACCACAATGGCTGCCCAGTAGTCTCTGTCCTCCATCACCTTCCCCATGTCTTCGGCCCGAAGGCCAACGTCCCTTCGCAGCACGTCTGGGTAAGTGAGGGGTGGTCTTCCAGGCCTCCTTCCCCCGTGTGCTGGGGACCACAGGACAAGGTGCGAGGCTATCTCCCTGCAGTTCCTTAGTGTATGGCCACGGGAACACCATGGGAACTCCTAATGTTGTCTGCTGTGTGGTAGCAGTGTCCAGTGTACGAAGTAAGAAACATTTTACTGTTCTCTGAATAGATTCTCCTACTTTAGCCTTGCATATTGTTGCACCGCGTTTTAAATCAAAAGGGTGTTAAAGGTAAAGCCAAAGAGAACTACAAAAGGTACCTAACAATGAAGTAGAATATACCACTGTAGGTTTTTTAGACGGGTCTTACTGTACAGGGTCAAAACTGACCCCATAATGTTTTGCATAAATAAAGCAGTTTTTGTGACACAATTAGTGATTTTTGATTATGTATAGTTTTATTAATGGGGGCCCGCATGCCATTTTCCGTAGAGCTTTATAGGCCGTTTTAATCCTACGTAGAGCGTAGACGGATCCGGACCCCCTTGATCAACGTAGAGTGTAATTGGCGCATTCTGCGTAGAGCGTATCCACCGTTTAAATTACACGTAATGCCTTGTAGCCACTTGGAATTTATCGTAAAGCATAATCAAGATCTGTTAAAATTTAGCGGAAAGCGTTGTCATCGGCCCCCATACAGGCCCCTATTAATCTATGTGGAACAATTTGACGTAATAAGGTGTAAATAATTTGTGTCACATATATACTAGTGAATCTCGATCTCTAAAACCTTTCCCCACTGGTGAGATACTAGTAAACATGCCTATGTCTCGCATAGAAAAAACTCAAGATTCGACCCTAATGTTTAATGGTTACAGCTGGTCAGATTTAAACAAACACTGACCTTTGAACCCCAGCTTCGATATGTCTGCCTAAAGATCTCATTATGTTTACCGAAGGAAACATATTTTCTGTGGTAGTGCTACCCATTTATGTAAGGAAAGTAATCAATGCCATCCTGCTTGTAAAAAAAGAGTACACGTTTAGTCTCTCGGAGTATTTTACTTTCCCCTTAAGTTGTAACCTCTTGTATTTCTACTCGGTTTTTGTTTGAACGGATTATAGGTTTCATGAAATCCATGCCTGTACATGAATGTGGTGATCAGGTCACCCCTTACAGTCTCCTGTAGACAAGTTTAGGAAGCTTAAGAGACCAAAGTCTGTTCTTGCACGATATTTTAAAAGTTCTTTTACCAAGAGACTTGCTTCGTTGCCCTTTTCTGGACTTGTTATAGCTCGAACACTGGTAGTGTTCTGTTTGCACAGTTAGAGGAACTCCATATTCTAGGTGCTGTCTAACCTGCATTATTGTAATGCACGAAAGAACCTAAACAATACACGGTGCGTAAATAGGCTATTACAGAAGGGTTTCCCCACCAATCATTATTGTCAAAGGTCGTCATCAAAGTCCTGATAATTAATCACCCCCACCCCCGACCTTTCGGCCGTTGACATCCTTACAATAAAAGGAATGCTCATTGTAGACCCTCTCTTACGTTATCTAAAGAGATACGCCTCAGGACATACGGTACACAATTACATACCCATTC